ACAATGGAGAACCATAAGAGCTCCCAAAGAGGAACATGCTTGGAGACTGATAAGCCAGTTGCATTTGAAATCCAACCAACAAGGGCCGTCATGGTAAAGTGGAACCCAGTTAGTGTCGTCGCTGCAGAATTTTAGTTTTCGTAAGTATACTCAATTAAGAAATAACATCAGGAACTTAATACCAAATGGTGCAAAATGATGGGGCTTTTCAAAATGGTGAGTTGAACTCTTAGTTTCCACCTTCAGAGGAACAAAGACTTGATTTACCATGTCACTTTACTATATCAAGCACTCATACCACGGTAGTATTACAAAACCACAATAATCTAAAATTTTCTAAACACTAAAACCTACTAGTAGACGCTTCACTTCTACGGCTTATCAAAAGAACAAATCAAATTTCACAATAATTTTAACATCATTCACTTTCCGACTGTTAATAATTAAATCTGAAGAATGGCGCACGTCCGAAGTAAATTCAACTCACCAAATCCGGCTAATAGCTCACTAGGATATTCGACGACCCAAAATTCCAAATTTTAAACAGAAAACAACCATAATAGGTTCGATGTTTTTCATTTCTGAGTCAAATATCAAATCTTTATACTTCAATTTCAATTCCAACACGACGCAAGCTCATGTTTATATCTCCAGTACTCAAATTTGTCCGCTCTTTTCCCCAAAAACCCATCAACAGAACAACTTCCTTTCTTCTTTTGACACAAAGATCGAAATCGCAGCACTTAAAGAGTTCCAATTCCCGGCGGGGAGAACGGACGAGGAGAGGTAGGTGAGCAGAGCCGGAGAAAGGGAGTACCGAAGGAGAAACCGTAGCCACTGTTAGACATGAGCTGCTTGTTGGTCATGATAAGGCCGACGGCGCTGACCACGTTCATCGCCCACGCCCCCGCATCCGACACCATCGGCTTCTTCTTCTCCGCGTCCATCGCTAACCCCCGATTCCCTTCCCAGAGAGGAGGACGACAAGAACGCTATCGCGAGAGAGGGGAAGAGAAAGCGAAGGCAAAGCGACAGGTGAACACTTAGAGCTTCTCAAGAATTTTCCGTTGTTATAGAGAGGAAAGGGTAAGAAACAAGACGTAATATTACTGAGGACCCTCCCCTCCACTCGTGTCTTAAATCATAGATCCAAGGAAACACGAATCGTCGTTGGAAGGTCGCAGCCAACGCACGTCGAGTAAGAACAAGGGAGATTTCATAGGGGAGTGGAAGTGGGAGATTTGCTGTCTTATTCCGGACAGGGTTCAGGCTTCTTTACCAACTCCCGCCGGGCCGAGCAGAGGGGTCCACATTGTACTTACATGTTTGAAATTTCATTGTGATTTAAAACATCACCCAAACAAATTTTGGGAAGCGTCAATGAATGTAAAAAAGATCAAATCCCTGCTCTTATTATTTATCATTTTGTAAAAAAGGGAAAATTTACCTTTTTTTTCTCATTGGCAATACTCTCCCTGTCTGGCTTCGCACACCTAAACCGTGATCCGGCTCACGCGGAACGTCGTTCGGAGTGACGTTGAACCCTGTCAGCCGTTACACAGCTGATGTCAACTCACCGACACCTGGAAGTCTGTCTCATCAAGTTGAAGGATAGCTATTATATGCCTTGGATGTTTTATGAATTATATATATATATATATATGATGTATTTAAATGATGTGCCAAAAAAAGGAACAAATGTCTTAATAATTTCAGAGATCGATTTTTTATTTGACGAGTGAAATCTGATAAATTGTTATTTCTAATTAATACAAAATCGAGCAATATCATAATATCTATCCTTCGTTTGACGTCATAATGCCAATCTTCGCCGTCGGTTGCCTTATTCCTTGTGGGAGAACCGTCGCAGCTTGCTTTGAGATCCGTAATTATAATATTCATATAGTAGAGGACTTTTTTTGTTTTTGGTCTCTTTTCATTATGTTAAATGTCTTTTTCTATTTTACTGGGAAACGACCAAAAAGGGAGCCGTTGAAGAGTCAGTGCAGTGTGTGGGATCAGATGTATCGTCATCTATTCGAGAGTGCGACGTCAACGATGGCTGCTGCTAACCGGTTTACCGAAGAAGACAGAAGGATTTCTTCTTTCTGAAATCATTAATCATTTTTTAGGCAAAAATAATTATTATTATTATTATTAGTCGGACGGTGATTAGTGAACTCTATACAACGATACTTCATAATTCAAATGATTGATTGCTTGCAAGAGAGATTATAATCATTTAAACTGCTTTCTGGATTTATATATTAAATCGATTTGTATAAATAAGAAGATATTTTTTTTTATTTCTATTTTATGAATATTATCATTTTTTGAACGTGACGAGATTAAAGAATCTTGCATATAAATTTTATGTCATCCAGATGAAAATATTCGAGGATAGATGGATTTAATAAGAAAGAGGAGATCAAACAATTAATATAGTAATACAGAAAAGGTAATTAGATACTTCAAATTTCTTTCTTGACTTAAGGAAGGATTAATGCTTTATATGAGAATGACTTAGAGATCTATATGGTTGGCCAAATATTCATCATGTATTAATAATATCTCAATCCTCCCCCCCCTTTTTTTTTTCCTTTTCATGGTCTTTAGATATTCATCCTATAACATCCTTTATTTTTAATTATTTTATAATATATATTTATTCAAATTATTTTAAATATAAAAAATTATTTATAATTTTATGTATTAAAAAATATGAATGTCATAAAATAATTTTAAAATAAAAAGTAATACACTCTCTCTATTAAAAAAATTTAGTCCTTTCAATTATCATAACTATTTCCTCCCTAATAGTTTTTAAAAAAATTACCGTAATCTTTTTATTGATTGAAGTATAATAATTTAGATGACTAAATAATTTTTAATGGAGAGAGTATAACATCTTTTATTGTTTTATAAGAGAGAAGTATAATATTATTTTAATAAGAGAATTAATTTAAATAATATTAATATTAAATATATTAAAAATTATGAATAACATAAATAATTTTTTTTAAAGGAAACATATTACACATCCCTTAATATCTGCACTTAGTGTTAATATAGCACATGTGTCTTCAAGGTATTCTTAGTTAAGTAAAATGTTTATTTTTCTCTCTTTTTTTTGGACAAATGCTCAACATCATGTTTAAACCCTTACCGAAGGACAAATGAGGCTGATATAGGTAACACTTAAATAAGGACCATAAGCTTTATGTATAGTGAAGGATTAGAAGGACCACATCATTTTGCATAGAATTAAAGAAAACCACTAAGACACAAAATTATGTGAAGCATATGACAAAAAAAAAAAAAGAACAGTGGTGGGTATAGGATTAGTCAATTATTAAGATAGAGATGGAGTACCAGCTACCATTGATTGATGCATGACAAATTGCTCTACTTCACATGCATTTGTTTAAAGGGTCAAAACACATGAAATAATAATATCTTATGAAACATTACCTCCATCTAACCCATATCCGAAGGCTCTTTTGACCGGTCCACTGATGCATTATTACAGTGATAATAATGGGTTCTACTTGTTGTAATTGATAGAAGATAAGATTTACCTAACTATACGAGAAAATTTCTATATTCTGTCGAAGAAAATTCTTTCTCCTATATATAGGAGAGGAATATATTAATGTATTCAAGCTTTTTCACTATTTCAATAAAGCTCGAAGCTTCGCTTTTACCTTCGGCCAACGACCAACGTCGCTCCTAAGAGGCTCTGCGGCGGAATGTCTGTGCCCTCACAGCAATAGCAATTGTAGCAACAAACAGCGATCTGCTCTTGCTCTACTCACGAAGTCTCTCACTCGTAAACTATTCTTTGCATCGATCCAAGATTGATATCCTTGACAAGAGCACCATCTTATGAGGGTATGATAGAAGATAAGCTCTTGCTTTTGGCCAGCGACCAACGCCGTTGAGAATTCTTCTGTCGAGGAAAATTCTTCCTCGACATATTAATGTATTTAAGCTTTTTCACTATTTCAATAAAACTTCTTCGATAATTATTCTTATCTTCTATCATTTTCATCGATTTTCCTTCACATACAATAAACAAATCCATAATATCTTCTCTTCAGCGAGTTAGAACACAAGCATAAGAACAATAAATCTAATTAAAATATCAAAAAAAAATTATGATCAGAGCAGTCCGAAATAGTAATCGTCGTTCGAAGGTGAAATCCTTTTATTATCAAAATCTTCACTTTCAAATTGAGTGTGCAGATGCTTTCTCTGTAACTCAAACCCGCCTTCCGACCATATTGTATAACAATATGAATATAATATTTAATCTTAGTTTTTAAATCTATATAATGAAAATAAATAATAATTAATTATTTTAATAATATTTGATTCGAATCATCAACCTAACCTAAATAATAATATAAATGATCAAATCTAAATTTGATTTAAATTAAGCTCGAGTTTAATTTAATTCGAGGATGGATTAGGTTGAACAAATTCCAAGCTGGTTCAAACCGTGTTAAAGAAATATATGGTCTAAGTCATGCCGTGAACGGTTGACCTCTGAATCAGTCCACTTTCAACTAATAAGCTACAATTTTGTCTTCTAATAAGCTACAAAGAGTTTCTTAGCAATAAGGCATCTTCCGGAGTCAAAACACCGGTACTTATTATTTAGGTCACCGAAATTGACTCATTTAAGTGGGTGGAAGAAATTTCATTACCACAAAAAAGGAAAAAAAAGATCATATTATCATCCCTGTCTCGCACTAGATAATGATGTAATTTACTTTAAGTTACATCATTTTCTAATGATGGAATTTAAAGATTAAAACAAAATTGTCTGGAATCAATTACTTTAGATTAAAATTAATTTAGACTCGTGTCCACACCGATCTAATGGATCGGATGGCGAAGCTTAGAGGCTTCTAGAAGCTTTGGCATCCGGGCATGAGGAATTAATGATGTAATTTATTTTTCTTTCTTTTTTTCCTTTTAAATTTTGTGTGGCTTCGCCGTCGTGGACCTCCGGCACTTGTGTGGAGCCCACTGCATCGTTGACTTGGTTCCTTGGCAAAGGAGGCAACAATTCTTCCGGGAGGGGCTCCAATTCCGCTTCTGGATTCCCCTCCTCGATCGAAGCCCTTCATCTTTCCTCTTCCCCCTCTTTGTTTTCTGTAATATCTGATTCCCCTTTGAGCTCCTTCCCTTCTTCTTCCCCTTACATCTTCTCTCTCTCTCTCTCTCTCTCTCTCTCTCTCTCTCTTCCTGTATTGCTCTGTCTTCACTAAGATTCATAAAGTTTCTAACTCGTTAAAAAGCAGCCTACATATTTCGGTTGGTGTTTCTTCTGATTCCCTCTCCAAAAAGTTCCAAGCATCTATTTACCTTTTTTTTGTTCCTCTTCTTGTGAATATTCTTTTCTTTTTTTTCATATTTTTCTGTAATTTTTCCCTTTATTCTGCTATAAGATTGGATTGGATTGGATTCTTTTCTCGAATTTTGGGTGATTTCATCTGTAAAAATCTCTCCTTTCGAGCCTTGTTGTTTGGTTAATCCTTGATGGGTGGTCAGCTCAGCAAGAGGCCCAGTATGCGGCGGGACCCCAAGGTCAACGGCGGCGGCGCAACCCGCTCGAGTGCTGCCCAGACGGGAATTCAGCAGTACACGGCGGAGCTGAGCTCCTACGAGGAGGCGTGTCGCCTTTACCCCGAGCTCCAGTCCTTCGATGCCACCGTGCAGCAGCGCACAAGCCACGCCATCTGCACGCTCGCCCAAGGCGTCGAGATCGGCTCGCTCGCTTTCGACACCCTCAGGGAGATCACCGACGGCATCCTCGAGACGAACCAGGAGGTGGTCCGTTTCCTGCTGGAATGCAAGAAGGACATCTGGAAGAACCCCGAGCTCTTCGACCTCGTCGATGACTACTTCAACTGCAGCATCCAGACCCTCGACTACTATACCGAGCTAGAGAGGTGCCTCAAGAAAGCTCGCGACAGCCAATTGATCATCCAGTTCGCTCTCCAGCGCTTCGAGGAGGAGGATGAAGCGGAATCCAGGGAAGATGACAAGACGAAGTACATTGAAACCCTGAAGAAATTGAGGCAATTCAAGGCAGCTGGTAATCCGTTCACCGAAGAGTTCTCTCAGGTCTTCCACTCCGTTTACACTATGCAGCAGTCAATGCTCGAGAAGCTGCTGCTGAGAAAGAGGAAGCTCGACAGGAAGCTGAAGTCCGTGAAAGCATGGAGGAAAGTGTCGAACATGATCTTCGTGGCAGCTCTCGCAGCATTCATTATATGCTCGATCGTGGCAGCTGCCATAGCAGCACCTCCTGTTGCCGCTGCCTTGGCCGCGGCATCCGCAATTCCCATCGGTTCGCTGGGCAAGTGGGTCGGTTCACTGCTAAAGCGACACCAAGATGCTTTGGTGGAGGAGAAGGAGCTGCTTTCTTGGATGCAGATCGGTACCTGCGTCGCTCTAAAAGACTTGGATACCCTGCGGTTGCTGGTCGATAAGCTGGAAATCCATTTCAATTCGGTGCTGGAGAATGCAGATTTTGCCCTCAGGGATGAGGAGGCAGTGAAGTTTGCAGTGGAGGAGATCAAGAAACAAATGGAATTCTTCATGAACAATATAGAGGATTTGGGGAAGCAAGTCGATCAGTGCAGCAGGTATATCAGGAAGGCAAGGACAGTGGTTTTGCAGAGGATCATGATGCACCCACACCCACACCCACACCCAAAATAAAGAAGAAGACACCTTGGTATGTGATTGTGAAAGCTCTGTATCTTCTGCCATTGCTGCAATCTACAACCATTTGATCTAGGAGAACCAACCAACCCACCCGAAGCTACGAAGCTGATATAATTATCTAATAATAAAAATCTTTTTACCAAATAATCCTGATGACTATGTTGTATTAGCTTTAGATATGTATGTCATTATCCGAGCGTATCGTGGTGATAACTAACATCCTATATTGGGAGCTGCCAGTCTTTTCATCGACTATGAATTGGCTTTGCTGTTCTCATTCACTGGAATATACCTGTGAATGAGAATATGGTCTTCTCTTTCTTGTGACGACTCGAGTTGCTGCGAATAATAAGAAGGAATTCGATGGTGCTATTCTGCAATACTAATGTTATTTTCAGAAAAGCTCATCGCTGGAAAAGGATCCATGACATGATGAGGACAAGCCAATCATACATTTATGCAGGACGATTTATTTTCCCACAGTATTCGTAAGGCAAAAATGGGCCGAACAAAGCCCATAAATCAAGAAACGGAAAGAAGGATGATGGCTCATTTACCGTCCGATCACCCCTGCTCCTCATCAGGGACGTTCATTTCTAGGCGGGGCACGACGGATAAAGGCAGCGAACGTTTCTAGGGCACGTCCGTCCTCTCGTGGCTCGCCCCCTTCGTATCCTTCGTCGCGCCGAAGGACACAGTCGTCGGAGGTGCAGTTGCAGCAACAGCTACAGCAACAGCCATGGCGGTCGGGTTGGGATCTCCGTTCTTTATCGGTCGCTTCGGTCCCTTCTTTTCCTCTCCCGTTCCGGTTTCTCACGCTTTTCTCTGTCTCCAGTATTTCGTCATTGTTCCAGGAAGAACAAGAAGATCTCCGAGGGGAAGAAGGGTGGCAAGAAGAAGACGTGAGTCTTAATTCTGTTGATTCTTCCTTTTTTTTCTCCCTAGCTCTCTTTCTGTTTCTTTGTAACTTTGACTTCGCTCGGCTTGATGCTTGGCAGCGTCGATCCCTTCGCGAAGAAGGACTGGTACGACATCAAGGCCCCCTCGGTGTTCAGGGTGAGGAATATAGGTAAGACCCTTGTCTCGAGGACTTAGGGCACCAAGGTCTATTATTCCCACACTTTGGTATTCAGCATACATCTTTGTCGATGGAAAAACAATTGTCTTGTTCTTTTGCTTCATTCTGTCTCGTGACTTAAATATTTGTTCGTCGTGAGAAAGTATTTGGTAGAATCGCAAAAATTGGTTTTGCTATTTTATAATTAGTTTGTAACTCAGTTGGTAGTGAGGCTTTATCGGCTGAGTTCCAGTTGTGGGAAGTTGAATTGTCGCAAGGAACTAGTTGAACGGAGGTCTTAAATCTATCGGAAGTCGAACCGTGCTCTTGAACTTAGGAGTGATATTTGATTTATAGGAGGTTTTTTTGTTACATTTAGCAGAGGAGACGAGATTCTTCCATTTGCATTGTTGGAAATGATGTCCAGGGAAGAATTATCATGACTGTACGAGATGTTAAGCTTTTTTATCTTCTATTAGAAAATCTCTAAGAACCACTCACTGTAAAGTTTTATTCTTCCAAGTCTGCTCCTTTTTCCTCAAACAAATTATCAAAGATAGTGGTAAGAGCGTACAGTGCATGTTCATGACCCAAACTCATCATTGGTGTGAATATAACACTTGACATCGAAGAAAACTTGGATGCTTGGAAGCCATTTGTAATCTGACCGATTTAGGAGTGATGATTTCATTGACCAATCCATGTGTTCCAATTGTCTTGGTTAGAATGATTTTGCTTTGTATAAATTAGCAATTCTATGCAAGGGGTGATACGAATGAGAATAGTGAGAGACAGAAGATGAATGAAGTTAATAGGCCATTTTACATCTTTTATGATTCTCATCAATGTTCTTCTGAAGTTGTGTTACGGAGTATAAAGTTCTATTATGGGAATGTAGGTTCTAGTATTGGTATAAAATTCTATTATACATCTTTTTATCTTTTTGGATTGTGGGAATGTAGGTTCATCCTGACTTTTTAGCATATGCAGGGTCATCACATGTTATAATTAGTATAACTGTCTCTGTTTTAGCCTGAAAATCCTAATAAAACTTTTAGTAGCAATATGATACATATCTGAATAAACTCATTTGAGGCTGAAGGATGCGAAACAACTTAAAAGCCCACATATCTCAAGCTAGAGATAAAAGGGAAATACTTTTAGTATCTATAATGTTCTTAATTACAAACAAAGAACTGTATAAGTATTTTTTTGTTGTTGTATGGAATAATTAATTCTCTTGAACCAGGTGAACCTTTAGAAATTTTGTTGACATCTTCCACTAGTTTTGAGTCTTTCTATAGAGCATCTCAAAGGCACCATTTCTAACCTCAAGATCTGCAGCTTGTTGTGACAAAATTTCTGTTACCGTTAAGTCGTATGGCAATTTGAAACGTCAGAAGAAAATATTAATTTTACTTGAGGGGCCTGTTGTGTATCCCATTGAACTCGCCAGGATTTCAGGTATTGAGAGTGCAAATACCTTCATCAGACTGCTGTTGTCGATGCTTCTTTAACCAAGTGATTATTTTGAACCGTTTCCAGTCAAAATGGTTTAAGTGATACAGGTCAAGCTGAAAATTGAAATTTGGAGCTCAATAATAGGAATTTTAGTGGTTAATCATTTCCTAAAATCTAATTTATAGATGGCTGTTATCGTCATAGGAATTACCAAGGAGAATCAAATGCACATAAGTCATACATTTATGAGTCAGGCTTATCAATTGAGTTGGTTTGCACAAGGACTCGCACCTTGAGGTTGGAACCAGGAGTCAGACTGACATCTGTGGGACCGGCTTTCCCTTCTGCTGATATATATCGACCTACTTACCATCCATGAACTGTGTCTGGACAATCTATCCTCTGACCTGTTATGCTTTGCTTTTGTTGAATTTGCTGTCTTTTCCAATATTATCATCCTTCTATGAAGGTCCTTGAAAATCTATTATTGCAGGTGCATTATTATTTGTGTTCTTTCATTGGCTAGTTGTGTTCTGCTTATTTTTGTAATCATTTGTTGATGTTTATACATATTGGTGTTGTCTACATTTTGTAGTTTTTGATTACCCATGATCTATTCAAGAATCAGCTTCTTGTTTATTCATATATGGTGATCATGAATTTTCATTACTTTATAGTAACCTGTGTATTAAAGATAATTTTCTTGGCATCTCAGATTGCATCTGAAGGTTTGAAGCACAGGGTTTTTGAGGTTTGTTTTAGCTGACCTTCAGAATGACGAGGACCTGGCACACAGAAAAATTCGGCTCCGAGCAGAAGATGTGCAGAGGAAGAATGTCTTAACCAACTTCTGGGTAGGTGCTTTGTGCTGCTGTCCGTAGCTCTTTTTCTCTTCTCCTTTGGTTCTGATATTTTGTTTGTTTGCCACTAGGGCATGGACTTGACAACCGACAAGGTCAGATGCTTGGTCCGAAAGTGGCAGACTTTGATTGAAGCACACGTGGATGTCAAGACTACTGACAATTACACACTAAGGATGTTTTGTATTGGCTTCACCAAGAGACGTCCGAATCAGGTTAAACGGACCTGTTATGCCCAATCTAGTCAGATCAGACAGGTAAATATATTAAAGGCTGTCATCTTACTTTGTACATTGTATATTTAGATGGATAGCTTAAGGCATGCCATCTTACTTTGTCTGCAGATAAGCCGCAAAATGAGAGATTATTGTTAATCAAGCTACAACCTGTGACCTGAAGGACTTGGTACAGAAATTCATTCCAGAGGTCATTGGCAAAGAGATTGAGAAGCGACAACAAGCATTTTCCCCCTTCAAAATGTTTTCATTCGCAAAGTAAAAATTCTCAAGGCTCCCAAATTTGATTTAGGGAAGCTTATGGAGGTACACATAACGTTCTTTTTGTTTTTGTTAAATAGTTATATTAAATAATATAATTACCCATTGTTGAATTTTTTTACTTTTGCATCAACTGAATCTTGGTTGAGAATCTTTTGTGCCATGTAATCTAGAAGCTAATGAAATAGTTTGATGTGCTTTATTGTCTGCTTAAACCTTTCATCGTTTGCAGGTCCATGGTGACTACAAGGAGGATGCGGGTGTCAAGGTAGACCTGCCTGCTGAAGATGTCCGGATGGAAGGTGAAGAAGTTGTTGGGGCTTAGGCTTATAGGTCTTTCTGTTGCCCACATTCACATACATGGAAGCACTCACTGCAGTTTTGGATTGCTTTCCTCGATTTAATGATATTTGAGTATTAACCTTTAAGCTGACTATTCTGTATCCTTCAATTTGGCCTTTTTTTTTTTTGATACATTTGGAATGAGACAATTGGCTGCAGCTTAAGCTACCGATTTTGAAGCTGCCAATTTCTTATAATATTTATTCTGAATTTTGTTTCCGACTTTGCTAAATCATATGTAGATATCATCTGGTTAGAAAAGTTTTACATTCTTCCTGTATTCTAAATCACATGTAGATATCATCTGTTTAGAAAAGTTTTACATCCTTACTGGAGAATTTGGGCCTTTAAGATTCTTTAAATCATTCTTCCCATTCTAGTTGTTAAACTGGAGTTCTGCATGTATTTTTCGTCAACATGCTTAACAACCTGAGATCTGCATGTATTTGTAAGCAAGCTTTATGTAGTTTAAAGTTTTCACCAATTTTGATTACCAATTAGTCCAAAATCTTAATCATAGAAACTTCTTGGTTGATCATTTTTATTCATAAGTCTTTGATGCCACAACTGTGATGTTAAAAGCAAATCGTAATATCTCAACTCTGTTGATGACAAGAGCATCAGTTTTTTTTCCCGTTGTTAATCTCTCTCAATGTGTGGTTGAATACAGGTGGGAATGCGGAACAGTAATGGCAACGTGATGTCTTCCTACAAGCATTAATCCAAGGAAAGGAGACATGGATGGATGGTGGTCCTTCTCTTTTCAAGGTACGAGAAATAAGCCAGATTTTGTGAGTGACCGCAGGTGGGGAAAGCCAATCCATTCCCGTCCCCCATCCTCAAAAGCAGCACCCACTATCTTTTCCTTTCTGTTGTTAGTGACCCAAAAGCTCCACCATGCTGCTGCATCTGCCTGCCATGAGAGAAGACTTGGGTATCTGAACAGTCTCTCTCTCTCTCTCTCTCTCTCTATGAATGAAAAGGGAGAAAGCAATTGCAATGGTGACAGGCTGGGCAATAGCAGTCGGGCTCAGAACTCAGTACACCATCCTTTGCTAGATTCCATCAGTTCTCGTCCAAAGATTCTATTCCTTCCGCCACACCCCCCTCCTTGTCTCACGAGATAACGGCCTCTTCTATCTTTTCATCATCCATCACTGTTATATGTTAATGTTTAGTGATATCACCGTGTCATCTAATCCAATACACATCTCTAATCTGAAATGTTTCAGTTTCTTGAGATTTGGTAGAATGAAAGCCGCTGATACCTTTGAAATAGAATATAAGAGATTTTTTTAATCTTTTTTTAAGTAAGTTCCTCACTGGCTGCATTATGAGTACTTTAGTTAACTAACCTACAAGGATTTCATAAACCTAGTGTTTCAACCATGGTTATTAGGGTAATTGGTCAAAATACATTTGCTCATTACAAAGTTTCAGGGGTCATTTTGAGAAACAATTTATTTGTGAGCCTTAATTAAATTAGCAAAAAATTTAATTAAGCCTCTCTCTCTCTCTCCCCTCTTTTCCAATCTTCTCTGGTCTCGCTCTCTTCCCTCTGTAACTAAGCCTCAATGAGATACCGGTACGGCGTAGCTTTCAATATGCGCAGCACTACCCGCTCTGCAACACGTGCCGAATCTCTCTTTCTCTGTCTCTCTCATGGCTTCCATGCGCTCGCCCACACCACCGGCTGCTCCTTCCACTCCAAGAATATCCCGGCGCCTCTACCTGCCACCTCCGCTACCCTCATTGACCAACCCTTCCTGTATCTCCTTAGCAGCGCTCTTGCATCGTCGGCCACGTCATCGCTGAACTGCGCTGGCTCGAACCCCGCCGCCTGCATCCGCCTCGACCACCCGGCTGCCGTGTCCCTTCGCTCCGTAGACTCCGCCGCCGGGCACGCCACGAGGTCCACTACCGCCCGTCCCGCCGCCCGCTCCAGCGCCAGCCGCTCGTTGCTCGTCCGCGGGAAGCTCTCCTCCAGCGTCTCGTAGTACGCCGAGAAGAAGCGTAAGCTCTCGCCGAACACCTTCAGGAACGCATCCCTGTCCTCCTCCCCTCCCGCGGCGGCGTCGAGTTCGGCCTCCTCCTCGACGATCGTGAGGATCCTCGGCTGGAGCCGGCGGAAGGCGGCGAAGAGAGTGTCGCGGCGGCAGCCGGCAGGGGAGACCCCGTGGAGCGTGTTGACGCAGTTGACGGCGAGCGCGGCGGCACCGCCTTCCCGGAGGTCGAGCCGGTCGAGATCGAGATCCAGCAGGTTTCCGGGGTGATTAACTACGTTGAACCGGAACGGGACACCCATCAGCCTCGCGAACTTCTCCATTCGCTGCCCGATCTCCTTCATGACTCTCTGCATAGAGGACGACGGGGCTGACGACGACGACGACGAGGGTGACGACACGACGGTGGTGATGGACAGATGCGGCGTGTCATCGGACGATCGCGTGGCGAGAGCCTCAAGAAGCGTCGGCCACTGCGTGCAGAAGGTGTTACTGAGGTCGAGAATGTGGAACCTCTGCGTGCGGCTCGAAGACGAGCTCTGTAGGAAGGACTCGAGGATGGCGCCGTTGGCGGCGACGTGGCCGAAGGAGGACCAGGGGCTGAGCTCCTGGAAACGGAGGGCGGTTCGGCGGGTGGAGTCAAAGGAGCAGTTGTGGTCAGAGGCGGCAGAGAGGGAGAGGAGGGTGCGCGGGCCAGAGGACGTCAGGCGGGCGAACAGGCCCTGGAGAAAGTAAGAGGCCAGCTTCTGATCCACGTCGCCATAAGGGGTGGAGAGCTCATTCAGCATCCACATCAACTGCTGCACCCTCTGGCTGTTGCGCTCCGCGACGGCGCGCGCGCATTCCGGCAACAGATGCGACGCCAACCGGCCGCCGGCGCTGCTGGCATTGGCCGACGAAGAGGACGCGGGGGAAAAGTCGAGGCTGAGGTCCCGGAGAAGCGACAAGTCATTAGGATTAAAAAGTGGTGTCGGGGTCGGTGTGGTGGAGGCGGAGGCGGAGAGAGGACGGTGTCGGTGGTGCTTCGACGAGGAGGAGGAGGAGGAGAAGTCTTCTTCATCCATGTAAAGATGACAGCGGCCGACGCCGCATTCTTCTTGACACTGCTCTTGTTGGTGCAAAGAGCTTGTATGGATGTAGTAATGGTGGTGGTGCTGCTGCTTTGAGTGAGCTTTAGAGGATTTCGAGCTGGAATTTTGGCAAGACTGTGGATCAGGTGTTTGCAGTCTAAACAATCTAAATATGGCGTCCATCTACCCAGGAGAAGAGCAACTTGGTGCCAGCTCCACCTCTCCACTCATAGAGAGAGAAAAGAAGATTATGCAGCATGCACTTGTTAGGAGCTTGTTAGGAGGAGGAGGAGGAGGTGGGTGAGAGAGAGAGAGAGAGAGAGAGAGAGAGAGAGGTTAAAGGGAAGATGAGAAGAGGATCTAAGAATTGGAATTTAGATAAGAGAGAGGCTCATATTTAGCTTTTAGGAGTCGGGGAGACAGAAAGATAGGAAGGAGTTGGAGGGGAATCTGAGGAGGGTGGTGAGTGCATGCTTGTTTGATGGGACCCCGTGAAACAATTGCCTTTATTTAGATGCTTTGTGTGCTATAGATTAGAGTTGTGGGTGGGGTAAGTTGGTGTTCTTCACTCTCTCTTTTTCTTGTTTATCATCGTTTTCTTTGCTTGGCTTTCTTTCACCTCACTCACTCTCTCATGTTTTTGTTGCCAGGCAGTGTCACTGAAGTGGCCCTCGGATCATATCATATGCAATGACAGTAAACGCGAAAAGGACTGAATCATCTCGGACGAGCAGTAGTGGCTGTGAGGAGGATGAGGAATGCTCCCTTATCATTGTATTTTGAGGTGGTGAAGGAATTCTCTGACATGCATATATGAGAGCAAGAGAGAAAGAGAGAGAGAGAAAGAGTCATATCAGGCGTGCCCAAGCGTGAAGAATATGACAGAGTGGAGAGAGAGAGAGAGGCTGAGAGAAGTCAGAGCAGAAAAGCTGGGAAGCGTGCATCATCACCATCATCAACAGCAGCAGCATCAAAACCCAGCACCACCTTCCATGGCATTAGATTGCCAACCTATTGTGATCTCTTTCTCTTACAAATTACTCGACGAGATTTCGAACCCTCCTTGACAACTTGCTTACCTCCTTCAAAGGCTCACAGCGGTCCCGCATGGGCCCACGACTACTTTCATCACATGCCGAGTGGCTGAGCGAGTAAACGGATGCTCCATGGACCATTCCACCCATTCCGATAACAATATCGGATCCGGATTCGACAACGAAACTGACTCGGATCCGACACAAATAGTCCGGTCGGCCATAAACTTTCGAGTCCCTCTTCCGTGAGTGGTTCGGTGAGGGCCAAGCGAGCAAATATAACACAACTCGAAAAGCCACCACCGGTCTAAGCGTGCCCTCGTCTCCCTCCGTGCCCTAAACGCTAACTCACTGCGTTCCGCGGCTTGGAGGCCGTCAGGACGCGCCTCACCTGCGCCTGTTTCGTCGCTCGGCCGTGGTTCTACCTGCCTCGGCCTCAGGCCCTTGACCATCCGTCGCAGCCGACGGCGAGCCACAACTCTTTCGCCTCCTGTGTTGGTCATTGGAGGTCGGTCGACGCCTTCCCAAGAAAAAAAACCCCGTATAATTAGCATTGGAGTGAGCGAAAGCAAAAACAAACGATAATTGTAGAATCTCATTGCTGAAGATTAGCCTCTCCTTATGTTCCACTTCCTCCCTCGTTCCTTCTTTCTTGATCGGGGTTTATTTTTCGGTCGCTTGATGTGGTTGAATGTTTCACGTATTCTTTGTTTAATTATGCCCAGAGTGAAAGAATATGAGGAAGTTGAAATTCCATGAGAAGAAGCTACTCAAGAAGGTCAACTTCATCGAGTACAAACGCGAAGGTGGCCACCGTGAAGCCCTTGTCACGCGCCGTTACCATCTCACCGAGAGAGATGACTACAAAAAGTAGCCTGTTCTTCCTTTTCAGTTCTTGCAGCAAGCTCTATTTTTTCGGTTGTTAATTAGAGGATTTTTCTTCTTTGGATCGTTAGGTATTCAAGTATCTGTAGGATGGTGCAGAAGCTAGTGCATAACTTGAAGCAAATGGATCCCAGAGACCCTTTCCGTATCGAGATGACGGATGGATTGCTGGAGAAGCTGTAAGTCGAGTAGGTCATCTCATATAAGATTTCTTTCTTGTCCAAGATGCTAAGCGTGATTTGTGTTCGTTTTAGAAGTTTTGTTAAATGGTCACAATTGGCAATTTTAGAAAGTGGCGTCTTCATAATTTGCTACAATGCTCGTTGTGAATTTGTCTTCTATGTGAGAATTTATTGCATGTTCAACTGATGACATTCCCTCGAATATCTCTCTGGTTCTCTTGTGCTGCTTTTTGTATAAACATCGCAGGTGACCAGTTTTTCTATGGGGTACTCCAGGTAGTTTTGACACTTGAAGTATATAGAGATTTGGATCCCAGATGCAAATCCATGTGTAGATCAATATCTAGAAAGTTTTAGATAGCAAACATTGGACATGATTATAAATGTGACATAGCACATTCCTGTAACCATGTCAAATGCTATTGGGATATAAAAATGAATTCGAACTAAATTGACCAAACCAATTTCACTCCTACGGGAGATCTTTGGATGGTGCAAATATATCTAAAAATGGAAAAATGGGAATTTAATTTTCCAAATCTCATAAAAGGATAGGTTAATTCTTTGATCAAATCAATGCAAGTATTACAATGGCATTACTGAAAATCTTTCATACTCAAGGGAGCCAAGCTTATTCTGGTATGATGAGTAAAACCATGTATTGTCTATTTCAGTCGAGGATAGCATTTTTTATTTTTAAATTCATTTATCTGTTTTTTTAATAACAAATAAATACAATCTAATTGGGATGTAGATCCTTGATATTCTAAATTAGTTCACTTAGTATAGAATTATTCATCACCAAGTTAAGTGCCACGACAAGATCCAATAACAATCATATTATTCATCACAAAGTTCAGTTAGCTACTGATTGAAAGAATTTATTCTCCCTGTTTTGATCCAAATACCTTGAGGTAGAGGTCAGGAGAAGCCCATGAGGACACACTCTAGCTTACTTCCCCTCATCCTAGTGGTAGTCATTCATGAACGTTTAGGGGTATGTCCAGACTTGCTGTGATTTGGAATAGTAAATGTCGACACATGAATTCCAGAGATTCCTGGGAATGAACCCAGATGGGAACCTGACAAATATTTTCTTGGAGTAGGGAGAAGTTCTGCCATCGGATAATAACAAGCGCCTAGCCGTACCAGAACCAAGGACCCTCGGCTAAAACAGAACATTTTCTGACTCTGACTGAAATTTAAAGCAATAAAGCCCTCCCGGTAAATCCACAATCTAAAGCTCGGAGCTGAGTTTCCATAGCTTGGGAAGGCTCATCCTAGTGGCCTTTAAAAGTGGGGATTTACCAAATGATTTCTTGTAAGGATTGAGTTTCCATTCTTCCCTAGTTCGGTCACGTCATCCAAGTCTGGTTCTAAAGCCAATTGAGAGTTTACCTAGATGTGGTGACGTTGCTTTTCCAAAATCATGCCCTGGTTCCAGTTGAACACCCAGTGCACCTTGCAGAACAGGCCTGCCCAAGAACCCAGCTGGTCCTGGGGCTTGGAGCTTGGTTTTCTTGAGGAGTTGTTGCCATTTGGGGAAGCATCCGGAGATCCCTACTCATTGGCAGATAACCCTTGCTCATGAGAAGTCTCCAGAGAAGATGAGGGAGGAGAGGCTTTGGGGCGAATGCAGCCAAATGTGGAGACAATGTTGAAGCCTGGAGTACTCCTGTATTGAGAGGGAGAACAGATGGAGATGGAGAGGCAGAAGAGGGATATCAGGAGCTCAGGGTAGCGCTGGAGCTGTTGGGAGCCATTATCCACAAAGCCTCTGCTTAGTGCTTTCAACCTTCAAGCTGTAAATATTGTTTCCAACCTATTATGGTCAATAGAATTCTGGAAGTACTTTTGAATCTCTATAAGCTGTTTCTCTTTTCAAAGAAGAAAAAGATTGACTAGGGAGTATGAAACTTTAAGACCAATACTTGGAAAGTGATGAACATAGTTAAATAATGTTCTATCAAGCTTCACTAAAGGAAGCAGTTTAAGGTATTATGCAGGCAAATTCCAGCCATAAGATATGATTTTAATTTCCATGAATTAATCATCAATGTGCCATCTTATCTGCAAATTATGTTGTACATTTTGTGTGTTGCTTACCTTAATTAGCATTATGCTAATTATACTTCACTGTTATGTGGAAGTGACTTAGTAGTTAGTACATTATTAATTACATTGTAATGCTTCTAACTAGTCTCTTGCGTTGCAGCTATAATATGGGTGTTATTTCGACAAAAAAGAGCTTAGCAAAGTGCGACAAACTTTCAGTTAGTTCATTCTGTAGGTGAGCATTATTTGATGCTACATAAATTTTATACAGACTTTTTGTTCCAACTATTTCTATAGCTTCAAAATTTAAACATAAGCAATTTTGATTTACTTTCGGGGATGAATAATTTCTTGTCTGCTTTGACTCCTCATCATCATCGACTGCTGTGAGGCAGATAATGAATGTCCTCTTTCTCTTGGACATATCTGTATGGTAGCTTATCAAGACTTATTATGTTTTTTTTGTAGTATCATTTACTAATTGATTGTATCCAGAAACTTATTTTCTTTTGCAATTATTTTGAATTTACTCAAGCTATGCAGTAAAAGATATATATAATGGCGAGCCTTTATTTAGTATGCTGTATAAGGAACTTTAGATTATCAATACTATTGACCACTGTATATGTATACACATGTAGACATCCATAATCAGCAGATTAAGCTTACTATTAATATAGAAAACAATAAATGCAATTTTTTTTTGTTTTTTCATGGAATCAACAATGGTTGCAACAAAGAACAATTGGAAATAATTTAGAAAGACAAAAATATCACACAAGGACTGTTTCTTCAGCGATGATTAGATCCGTTTTTCAACCATGTTAATATTTGGCTTGAAAGGCCTTTTGACCTGATAAATTAAATGAGATCAGAATTATGTTATTTTAAAAATGCCTATTAGCCCCATGTGCAATCATATCATCCTCCTACACTTTTGATGTGGGACCAATTAGGGTGCAGTAAACTTCCCTTTATTAAAGGTTTGACATCCTCATCAAAGGTTGAACACCTAATAGACAAAATCATTCCTAGTAGGTGGTATGGATGCTCATCTCCTAGTGGTGGTTGCCTGCTATGATGTTTGCGTTGCCCCATATTTTGCTAGCCCTTTTTATGTATTACTAGGTTGGTTGTTACAAGTTTGCTTGTTGGAGCTACTGACCCAATAGCTTAGATAAAATGAGTCCAAAGCCATGTGACACAAAAGTGCTTTTCAGCTAACTCTGTATACTATCACAATCTTTCTTCTACATCTAATGTGATTTCCATGTCTGGTCTTCTTGTTAGAATTGACCTAAATTGTGCCAAAAATGATGAGAACCATAGTCATTTAGAGCTTTATTTCTTGAAAAAGCACATCTGTGTATTTATGTTTGGGTAATTTGTTGTTTTATTCGAGAGAAGATGAAACATAATTATGCAGTTAAAGACAGCTTTTAGGGTCCTAGGTGGGAACATCTTGATTTCATTTGGTTTGCATTTTGTTGCAGGCGCAGGCTAGCCACAGTTTTGGTATACCTAAAGTTTGCTGAGCATCTGAGAGAGGCTGTAACATACATTGAGCAAGGCCATGTCCGGGTAGGCCCAGATGTGGTAACAGATCCGGCATTTCTTGTGACGAGGAACATGGAAGACTTTGTGACTTGGGTGGACTCTTCTAAGATCAAGAGGAAAGTGATGGAGTACAATGAGAGATTGGATGACTACGATGCGCTGAATGCCTAAAGTTGCTTTTACAAGTCAAGAATGCCAGTTTTTTCAATATCCATTGGTGGGGGGCTATTTCTGACCGCCGAGGAATTCTTATCGATCGCAATTAGTCAAATGGACCAATGCACATAATGCTAAAATTTTGGAATCAGATTATTAGTTGAACCTGTGTATTATTTTATATAGTCTTGTCTTCTGCTTTTAGTAATGTTGTAGTAGTAAATGAGTAAAAACTGTAATGGGCTACCGGAAGTATTGCTGAGCCAATGTCATGTTTAGGTTGGATGAATTAATAGCTTCAGAAATATGTGGAACAATCAGTCAACCTTGCATGGTTTTAGATGACACCTATCAGCATTCCAAGCAGCTAAAATAGTAGTAGATGAAAACAATACCTGGTTGTTTCAAGAATCACATTTTTTCCAAGCAGCTAAAAGTGCAGTGGATGTCTGTTCCAGATCTGTCCATCTTGACAGATCTTTATTGGTAATTATATTTTTATTTAATCTAACTCTTTAATCTAATTCTTCCTCTTTTACAGGAAATTTTTGTTGGTAATTATATTTTTATTATTTATAATGTCATTCTAAGAACTAATATATTTAGAATGCCCTTTGCCAACGAATATAAACATCTTTAATTTATTAATTAATTTTAACAAATTTTTAAAAACTTTTTTCATTTAATTTTTTTTTCTTTCACTTTGTTGTTTTTCTTTTTTCTCTTTCTCAAGATTAAAAAAATAAAAAAAATATATTTTTATATTTATTAGATCGATTTAACTTTTTTAAGTTTTATTATAATAGCTTCGGAAGTCATCTCATGCATCATATAAATCAATTATATATTATTTTTTTTATAATTAATTATCTTTAATATTTTAATTTTATACTTATTAAAGTAAAATATTTAATCTTGTTTCCTCGATATAGTTTAGTATATTATTTCATATAGCAAAGTTCGATGGTCTAAAATAAAATAAAATAAAATTAAATATTTTACTTATATATATATAATATTAATATACTTTTTGAAAGTATTGGATCGAAATATTAAAAATAATTAATTACAGAACTAATATGTAATTAGTCCCGAGGATCCTCCATCGTGTTAAATACTTTGTTGATCTTATTCCGTAATGTTGTTGTGCTATATATGTGTCTTGTTGTCTGCCCCACCTGTAGCGTTGTTCTCGTTTTCGCTTGTTGGATCTCGTTCTTACTTGCGGTTCTTTTTGTAGCTTCATTCACTCCAAAGAAGGAAAACCAACAAGCACTTCGTCGACATGAGCTGGTGGTGGGCGGGCGCCATTGGCGCGGCCAGGAAGAAGCTGGAGGATGACTCCTCCTCCACCGTCCCCAAGTACGAGAGCGTGGCCATCGTCATCGGTGCCACGGGTATCGTCGGCACCTCCCTCGTCGACATCCTCCCGCTCGCCGACACCCCCGGCGGCCCCTGGAAGGTCTATGCCGTCTCCCGCCGCCCCCCTAATTCTGCTATTCTCCCCTACTCCTACTCCCCGGCTGACGCCGAGGCCCCTGTTGCCGCCGATACTCTCCGCGTCCAGCACATCCAGTGCGACGTCCTCGACGCCGCCGACGCCGTCGCCAAGCTCTCCCCGCTGACCGACGTCACCCACCTCTTCTACGTCGCCTGGGCCAACCGCCTCACCGAAGCCGAGAACCGCGTCGTCAACTCCGCTATGCTCCGCAACGTCCTCTCCGCCGTCGTCCCTTCGGCGCCCAACCTCTGCCACGTCTGCCTCCAGACCGGCCGCAAGCACTACGTCGGTCCTTTCGAGGCCGTTGGCAAGGCTCTTGCTCATGATCCGCCCTTCCGCGAGGACCTTCCTCGCCTCCCTGTCCCCAACTTCTACTACGATCAGGAAGACATCCTGTTCGACGAATTATCCAAGAAGGAGGGCGCCGTGACCTGGTCGATCCACCGCCCCACGACCATCTTTGGCTTCTCCCCCACCAGCCTCATGAATCTAATCGGCACCCTCTGCGTCTACGCGGCCATCTGCCGGAAGGAAGGAGCACCCTTGAAGTGGTTCGGCAGCCGGACGACATGGGACGGTTTCAACGACGCGTCAGATGCTGACCTCATCGCCGAGCAGCAGATCTGGGCGGCTGTCGACCCGTACGCCAAGAACGAGGCGTTCAATATCAGCAACGGGGACTTGTTCAAGTGGAAGCATCTGTGGGCGGCTCTTGCGGATCAGTTTGGGTTGGAATCCGTGGGGTACGAGGGGGAAGCGAGCCGATTCAAGCTGGAGGACGCGATGAGGGGGAAGGAGGCGGTATGGGCGGAGATCGTCGCGGAGAATGAGCTGGTGCCGACAAAGCTGGAGGAAGTGGCGAGTTGGTGGTTCGCTGACGTAGTTCTGGGCCTCGAGCTGGCGCACCTCGACAGCATGAACAAAAGCAAGGAGCATGGATTCTTGGGGTTCCGCAACACGGTAGCTTCTTTCAATTCTTGCATCGATAAGATGAAGGCTTTCAAAATCGTTCCTTGATGCCTCTTTTTCATATGGGTCTATCTATGTTATCAACTACGCATATGCTTTCTCGTTATGGTTGGTTACTTGTTATGCTTGTTTTCCTTCTTGCAAAATATCCCTGTCTTCAAGCCAAATTTCCATGGTTTGCTTGCTAAAATGTACTGAAAATTATATGATTATGTGGGAATAAATGTACGATATTGTTTACAGTCTGTGATTTAGGAAGCTTTGTTCACATCTATCAAACTTAGCTTATAATCTATCTCATGCTATATTGCTTTTTTTTTTTTTATCGGTCCAACGTATTTAGTCCTAATGTTCCTCCTTTATTGTCATCTAGGATTGCACACCTCTTATGCAGCATGTTTATTCTATGAACATTATGTGTTGTTCTTTCAGTCAAGTGTTATTTAGGAACAAATGAAAAAGGACACTATTCATTAGGTGTAATAAGCAGAGACATGATCGGAGGAAACAAAAAAAAAAATAAAAGAATGAGTTACAACAATGTCACAGTTGAATTTACCTACAGAAAGAAATTGTTTTTGTAAAAACAAAACGTTCAGAGATCTATGAGTTGAGCAATTGTCGGTAAATAGTCGAAGGAAAAGCCTCGTGATCGAATGTTTTGCTTTCATGCTGTTTATATATCATGGTCTGCAAAGTAAATATAAAGGAAAGAAAGAGCTCTTACTTAACATATATTGCTCAAGATTTGATTGAAATAAATAGAATTTCAAACATACACAATGATTCCGCACTTTTCTCGAGTCACTAATTTTTTACCTAATGCTGCTTGTTATGCAGTTTACTCTCGGAGAAGTGTGAAAGCCAGTTGATCTTAAGAGGTAGGGTTATTATGGTACGATGTTTCTTAAGAAGTAGGTTTGCAAGCCTATCACCCAAAATATTTGTCGCGTTATATGTCAGCCCATGTTTTTGGTTCCACATCATGATTCCTTGTTACTTTCTGGTAAATAAATTTTGTATCTTTCAGTCTGGACAGGTAATATGTCATATATAAAGAATTAACGTCCATAAAACGAACACCACTCACAGTCAGCAACTACCAAATGACTATGGCCAACTTAGAGTTAGCTAACTTTTTGTCCCAATTATATAGAGTTAGCTACTTAGATCTTTTCCCATCATTGAACTCCATATATAAGATTGCATCTTTAGTTCAATCGAGAGCATTTTATTATTTTTTTTTACAGTTTTTAATGAAGTTCTCATTGGACCTTTACCTTTCTTCGGCCGCTAGTGCTAATTATCTCATATCTGTTAGGATCGGAGCGGCACTAAGATGGGGGTGAATTAGTGCAGCGGTAAAGTGTGATAAACTTTTGACGATTTAAACTCTTTCGGAAACTTTGTACGATAAAAGTAACGTTTTCGTTTGAAACCATTTCGATTGCGTTTTAACTTGAAGAGATAAGTAAGACGGAGACAAAGAAGTAGAGCATTAAAGTGCAAATGGTTTGCAGTAATGTAAATGACAATAAGTAAATACAAACCAGAGATCACGCCGATTTTACAGTAGTTCGGTCAAATGACCTACATCCACTTGCGAGGCCCCTTTTCGATGAGACTCCCACCTTCCACTAGCAAATCTCTTGAAGGGGAAAGGTAAATACCCCTCTTACAACTTTTTACAAGCGGTTCACTCTCTTACAGATTTTCAGCAAGAAAGGAGGTGAACACTAGCAAATTGAAAACAAGACTAGCAAAGACTTTTCTAAAACCTTTCTCTCAAACAATTGCTGCTCAAAAAGTTGTCTTCTCAGCTGAGACTTGAGGGGTATTTATAGGCCTAAAGAGGATTCAAATTTGGGCTCCAAAAATTTGAATTCTCTTATGTTCCCGATGCTGGCGGTGCCACCGCCCAGCGCTCGGGTGCTGGGCGGTGCAACCGCCCAGCCCAGGAGGTGTCACCGCCCAGCCTAGGCGGTGCCACCGCCTAGGCCAAATCAGCTCACTGGTTGGGCTCCAAACTTGGCCCAAACCAGTCCGAACTCGGGCCCAATTGGCCCCTACTTGGGTTATAGGATTAACACCTAATCCTAACCCTAATTAACGTGCTAACTACGAATTTAAAGACATTTTCTAAGCTATTACAAAGTTCGTAAGTCAAGACTTCTTCCGGCGAGCTTCCGACGAACTTCCGACGGTCTTCCGATAAACTCTCGGAAACCATTCTGCGGACTCCCGGCAAGCTCCTAGACTTCACGATTTGATCTTGGCGAGTTCCAACAAGCTTCTTCGGTAAGCTCCGATCTTTCTCGGTGAGCTCCGCAAACTTCCAACGAACCTTCCGGCGAGCTTCCGAAAAACCCTTCGGCAAGCTCCCTACTCATTCTCGGCTAGTTTCGGCAGCATTCCTGACGAACCTTCGGACTTCCGTCGAACTCTCGAACTCCCAACGAATCCTTCGCGCTTGACTCCAACACTTTGTTTCGCTTTATGTCTTCATCGTTATCGTAGTTAATCCTGCACACACAAACCAAAACTCAACTCCGATCTAGACTATTATTACAATGCGAATTGACATTCTTTTGCCCGGCACGTCATTGGTTGGCGCTTCGTCTGATTCTTCGGTGCATCGTCCTCTCTTGCGGCTTGTTGCCCAATCGGCGGTTGACCTCCTCAACCCCGATATCCTTGGCGTAATTTCGCTCTCCTTGGCCCGATGCCCGACGT